GAATATGTACAATTATTATGTCAGTTACAAAATAAAGCATAAGGTTGCCCAAACAAAAAGGGGAAATAAATAAATATTTAAAAAATAAAAAGAGAAGAAACTTTTGACCCAATTAAGGACATTAAGACGTAAAATGAAGTTTTTAAGAGTTCCTTGGAAAGTTCCTCCTGGCTTCTGGAAGCCTCCTCTCGACTGCTGGATATTGCGGTGGATGTAGGATGTAAAGTTAGGAACTGCCACTACTATTGTTCCACACTGAAGATGAAGTTCACTCACAGAGGAGGGCATGACCACCGAATGAACCTGGCACGGAAGCCTGCACTACCTCTCTGAACTTGCCGTTTTGTAAGCCAATCAATGTCCTGATTGCTTATGCTCATTTAAGTCAGGTTTTACGTCAAACTCAAAGCATCATAACTGCCTCAAGAACTATCCTAGCTCAACTATGTGAGAATTTTTTTTTAAAGAAGGGATGGAGCCATCATGAGGATATTGAAAATGCTAGTCAAAGAGTTTTTAGAAATTCTGAGTTCATTTTTAATCCTATTATAGCATTAGACTTTTATAACAGTATTCATACACCTTAGTAAAAGAGGGAAATCAAATGTTTATGAAGAACCATTGCTGAAGAGCCTGGCTTGCCCTGTATCTGTCATTCATTTCATAAATATTTCTAGAGAGCCTTTCGTGAGCCAGGTAGTGTCCTAGGTCCTGGAGAACGTACTAATAAACCTAACAAGCAAATCTCTGTTCTTGTTGAATTTATATTTTAGTAGAGAAAAACAAGAAAGAAATAAGAAGTAGTTCAATGATTTCGCAGGTGACAAGATATATACATATATAACTCTGTAAGGTTGTGAACTTGAAATAATCAAAAGAATCAAAATCCAATTTTAAAGAGTTGATTCAAACAAAAAACTGGGAATAGCCATCCATGAAACACAGACTCCAGAGAAATGAGGCCAGGGGAAACGTGTAGTGTGGCTAAGGTTTTAACATGAGTTTTCTGGCTACTGTGTTGAGAACAGATTAGAGGACAAAGGTGGAAGCTATTGATCCCAGCAATCCAGCCAGGCGATGGTGGTAGCATCAGGATGGAAGCAGTAGAAGTGGTAAGAAGTCCCTGGACTCCTGACAGATAGAAGGAGAAACTGGCTGATAAATCTGAATATAATTTCTGCACATCTGACTCCATGGCCTACAGGAAACAGGGCACTGGATTTGTTAAAAGTTGGCTTGTCAAGATGTATCACCAAATAAAGCTTCTGGTTCCAGAAGGAGATATATTGTAACATATTGCCAGATGAAGAAGGGTGAGGTTCATAAATGTGTAAAGGAGAGCTTTATTTCTCATAAAGGGTTGCAGCCTGAAGAGTGATCATTCTGACAGGCTGGAATGTAAAACCTTCAGCCAGAAGCAACCGGCACTTTGAGGGAGGGGGAAGAGAGAACAGGACTTTATACTGAGGAAGGTGGCCAAATCTCCATATTTAATAAGCTATAGGAATCATGAGTATTTATGAAAAGAGAAACATTCTCATGGGCAATTCAGCTTTATGCTCCATCATGGATCGAATGTACAAAAAAATGGCAGCATTAGCATGACACGAGTGTGGAGTTTTGGCTCTCTGACGTCAAAAGGTGAAGCAAAGGACACAAAGACCCTCACTGTGTATCCTCCACAGATTGGACCAAATGACTCCAAGGTCTGTAGCCTCTTATTAAGAGGGGATGCTAATTGGTTGTTGTGTCAAAACCAGAAAAGAGAGGGGCAGCAGTCAGGCAGTTAGTTGATATCAGTGGTGAAGTCTTTTGAAAGTGCTGGTTTGTGTTTAGTGCTTGGGGAAGGCAGGCTAATGGTGGGCAGTGAAGGAGGGGGTACAATGCGGTGTGTTGGACCTCCCACCCCATCACGGCCAATAACTCATTTTCAAGGTTTCTCTGGGGTCCCCTTGGCCAGTTGGAGATCCATTCAGTTGACTGGGGAACTTAGGATTTTAATTTTATTTGTCATTAAGGTTTTTTTTGTTTGTTTGTTTGTTTTTTGTTTTTGTTTTTGTTTTGAGTTGGAGTCTCACTCGGTCGCCCACATTGGAGTGCAGTGGCTGCTCCCGGCCACTGCAGCCTCGACTTGCTGGGCTCCGGCTGGACTCCAGCAATTCTTCCGCCTCAGCCTTCCAAGTAGCCAGAATTACAGGCATGCACTACCACGCGTGGCTGACTTTTTGATTTACTGTAGAGATGAGGTCTCGCTGTCCAGGCAGGTCTCGAACCCACGGGCTCAGGCAATCCACTCACCTCAGCCTCCCAAAGGCGTGGGATTACAGGCTGAGCCACTGAACCCAGCTTGTCACTAAGGTTTTAACATGAGCCACACTACACATTTCTCCCCTGGCCTCATTTCTCTGGAGTCTGTGTTTCATGGATGGCTATTCCCAGTTTTTTGCTTGAATCAACTCTTTAAAACTGGATTTTGATTCTTTTGATTATTTCAATTTCACAACCTTACAGAGTTATATATATATAACTCTGCAAAATCATTGAACATATAATTGTTGCCTACAAAATCGTTGAACATATAATTGTCATCAAATATGTGTCTTCAAACAAGGCCACAGCCTCTGTCCCCGCATCTGCTACAAGTTGTTAGAAACAAACATCTAAACCACCAAAGCAACCACCAGAAAGACTTGTTGCAGGAGAGAAAAACTAGTCCTTCCAGAGACATCCAAAGGAAAATCAAACCAAATGTTTCAACTGGATTATAAGGATTTCGATAACCAATTTAAATTTCCATTACAGTATAATATGGACAGAAAGAGGTATATTATGTTGTCAGCAAGAACTGCATCTTATTTCAGAGAGCCTCATTGATCCTGAAGATGAATCTTAAAAATGACTGATTAAGAATAAAGTTAGGCTTTGGGAAAAACATTGGGAAAAAAAGCAAATAAAAATATTTTATTCTTTTAACTGACTTTTTAGAGTCAGGGTCTCACTCTCACCCAGGCTGGAGTGCAGTGACATTATCATAACCTGCTGCAGCTTCGAACTCCTGGGCTCAAGGGATCCTCCTGGCTCAGACTCCTAAGTAGCTGGGATTACAACCACAAGCACCAAGCCTTGCAAAAATATTTTAAATCCTTAAAAAGATGTACCCTCTGCTACTCCTGTACAACTCTAGACAATGGAGGTAGACTTCTCCTAAACCAGTTCTTCTATACAGGAATTACTCGCCTGGGTGTGGTGACGCTGTTGTTTCCTAATAAATGTAATCATGTATTACCACACTCCTCTTTGTACTCTATATTAAAGGCCACTGTCTGTTGAACAGATTATTAGTTTCATTCTCATGAGTTTCCAGAATCAAAACATCTAAATAAGAAATCATACAAAGGTTGCAGGGGTATGTTTTAAATCACCTTTAGTATAGCCACATGATTAAGAACAGCTTCTTCTTCATTGTCAGGGTTTGGTTTGGATTCCAGCAGTTCACTTCAAGTGCTAAGTTTCCACATCTTCAAAATTGGGAGAATGGTATTTTCTTCCTGGAACTGTTGTGAGGATTAAAGGAGTTAATATTTGTAAGTCCCTCAAAACAGTTCCTGTCAAAAGCCCGTACTTTATATGTTCATTATTATTATTATTATTTTATTTATATATATTTTTTAGTTGGAGTCTCACTCTGTCTCCCAGGCTGGAGTGCAGTGGCACGCTCACGGCCACTGCAGCCTCAACCTGCTGGGCTCAGGCAATCCTCCCGCCTCAGCCTTCCAAGTAGCTGGAACTACAGGCACATGTTACCACGCCTAGCTTATTTTCTGATTAATTGTAGATACGAGGGCTCACCAAGTTGCCCAGGCTGGTCTCAAACCCCTGACCCTAGGCAATCCTCTTGCCTCGGCCTCCCAAAGTGCTGGGATTACAGGCTTGAGCTACCGCGCTGGCCAATGTTCATTATTATTTTAAGACTGTTGCCCCACAGAATCTCATGAATTTCAACTTGCATACTCTAAAAAAACAGAGAAATGAGAACTTTCGCATTTTCCCCATCCTCCCTAATTTTACTAGCCGCTTCGTGCATTTCAAAGCATTTAGAACACTGCAGATAGCAAGGAAAATACAGTAAAGGGGGGGAAAGCACCCCAAGTTCGAGGTGTGCATTCTTCAGTTCAAGAAGTCAAATCTGATGCTCCCTGATCATTCGTTTGTTTGTTTGTTTGACTCTGGGGAGTGCAGTGGTACAATCCTGACTCGTGCAGCCTCGACTCGACCTCCTAAACTCAGGCAATCCTTCCACCTCAGCCTCCCAAAGTGCTGGGATTACAGGGGTATGCCACCGTGCCCGGCCCATCCTTTGTTATTACATATATTCTTCAAACCACACCGATGTAAAAAAAAAAAAAAAAAAAGGAAAACGAATCTTTACATAATCTAAGGAAAAGGCAGAGTATTTTCCTTAACCCCATGGAGACCCGGTTGAACAGCGGGTTTTAAACGCTGGCGTCTCAGCAGGGTCGGCAATCGGGAACTCACTGACACCTTAAATCGCTCCGAAGTGTCAGCAAAACTGCAACAGCGCTACGAGGCCCCGGAGCGCGGCTCAATTCCCTCTGGAAGCACCCGAGGAGCGCTCAGGGACAGAGCCCAGCCCCTCCCGCTCAGGCGCAGGAGGCCGGGCTCGCGCGCCCACTGCACAGAGAGGAACCAGCGGCGCGTGG